ACCTACAGTGGGGAAAATAATTATTTGATCCCCTGCTGATTTTATAAGTTTGACCACTTACAAAAAAATTAAGGGTCTATAATTTTTATGGTAGGTTTATTTTAACGGATAGAGACAGAATATCAACAAAAAAATCCAGAAAAAACACATTATATAAAGGTTATAAATTGACTTGCATTTCAGTAAGTAAAATAAGTATTTGATCCCCTACCAAGCAGCACGAATTATGGCTCCCACAGATTGGTTACGTGCCCAAGTGGAACACAGATTAGTCCTGTCACTTTAAGAAATTACTCCTAATGTCATCTTGTTATGAGTATAAAAGAAACCAGTCCATAGAATGTGTATCTTCCATTCAAACCTCTCCCACCACCATGGGCAAGACCAAAGAGCTGTCAAAGGACGTCAGAGACAAGATTGTAGACTTGCACAAGGCTGGAATGGGCTACAAGACCATCAGCAAGAAGCTTTTTGAGAAGGAGACAACTGTTGGTGTGAATATTCGGAAATGGAAGAAATACAAAATAACCATCAATCGCCCTCTGTCTGGTGCTCCGTGGAAGATCTCGCCTTATGAGGAAAAGGATGGTCATGATAAAGGTGAGGGATCAACCCCGAACTACACAGGAGGAGCTTGTTAATGATCTTAAGGCAGTTGGGACAACAGTCGCCAAGCAAACCACTGGTAACAAACTACGTTGCAATGAGTTGAAATCATGCCGTGCCTGCAAGGTCCCCCTGCTCAAGAAGACTCACTGAAATGCAAATCAATTTATAACCTTTGTACAGTGTTTTTTTTTCTGGATTTTTTTGCTTGATATTCTCTCTATCCGTTAAAATAAACCTACCATAAAAATTACAGACCCTTCATTTCTTTGTAAGTGGGCAAACTTACAAAATCAGTAGGGGATCAAATAATTATTTTCCCCACTGTATAAGTCATTACCATTGTGTCCTTAAAGGGATATTTCACCCAAAAATTAAAAAAAATGCTGTCATCACTCACCCATGTCATTCCAAACCTGTATGACTTTCTTTTTTCTGTGGAACACAAAAGAAGATATTCTGAAGAATGCAGGTAACCACATAAGAAAGAAAGACATACAGGTTTGGGATGACGTGAGGGTGAGTAAATAATGACTAATTTTCATTTTTAGGTGAACTATCTCTTTAAGAAAATAACTTAATCAGGTTGTTTCAAAGGAAAGCACCAATAAGTCTACTACTTTGGATGAAAGTGCCAAATAAATAACAATCTACTTTAAACACATTTTACACACAAGTTATATTAACAGCCACATACAACAAAGCAACAGCCTCAGCAGAGCTTCCGAGATGCTTCATAAAGTACAGTACATTAAAACCACAGAAGCTGCAGGTGCGTTATTCTACGAAAATAATGAAGTGTGATGAACAAGCATAGCAGGTTACCAAAATACTAGCAGGTGCACAGCATGAGTCATAGGCTCTTTTATAAACATTGTTAAGAACGTTGAAAAATTCAGAGCAATTTTGAGAGCAATTATCATGATATTCAAGAAGAGCTATCCCAAATTTCCTGGAGCTTTATTGTATTGTTTCATGTAAAACCCTATGCAGATATTTAACAAATAACTTACTCACACCATATACAGCTGCAATCTCCACCTGCCAAAAATAATAATAAATAAAATCCCTATCAAGACAGTATTAAAGTAGTGATGTGCAAAAATACATGTCTTTTGGGCAAGTTAATAGATATAAAATGTAGATAGATAGAAATAACTGCTTTTGTGTTCCACAGGGGGAAAAAAGTCACAGATTTGTAACAATATGAGGATGAGTACATTTTAATTTTTAGGTCATCTAGTTCTAAGGACAAAATCTGCAAGAAAATTACAGCCTCCTTGAGCAATTCACTGTTCTCAGGGCTTGTTTATCCCTCATAATCACAAAAAGCTGCGGTATCAGCATGTCCTCAAGCCAGTTTCTTAAAACCACTACATAATCATTATTTGATCAATTAGATCTAAAGCCTTCAGGTGAACCTCAGGCCCTGCAATGCTGATTTCCGAACAAGTGTGCTCTGCAGAACACTCCTGTATGCAAGTGTTGTGGCCATGTGATGTGTTCTTGGTGTCCCTATTGCCCTATGCTAAATTCTAGATACTCGCAGATAGCGCCTGCCTTCTCTCCTGAGCGAGAAGGGTAAATATAAAGACACCTAAATTATGCAAGGCGCGCATGAAAATGTCAGGGCTAAATTCAGTATTTCTTCCATTGTCTCCTGGCATTTCAATGTTTTATGTATTTTATAATTAGGTAGAGGCTCCAGAGGGAATAGAGAGCAATAAGACCGTGCATTGCTATAGCTGTCTGGGGTGTCACAGTCTCAGACCCTGGTTTTTTTTAAAGGCAAATTTTAAATGTGAAGTCAGTCAAGGTATTTGAGAATAAAAGGTTGACCATCTAGCTGAAAGTTGGCCAGTTTCAACTGTGGCAATGATAGCATGCGATTGATTTAGCATTAGAATGTCATCTAAGCCATGCTACTAAAGTGACAAGAAGGATATGGCATAAGTCATAAGAAGATGGAGGGAAATAAGTAAATATATAAACTAATATATACTGTATATACACAGACAGACAGACAGACAGACAGACAGACAGATAGACAGACAGACAGACAGATAGACAGACGATAGATAGATAGATAGATAGATAGATAGATAGACAGACAGACGTCAACACCAGTGAGAGAGAGGAAAAGGAAAAAAGTGAGCCTCGCGTGACTTTCAAAGTTTTCTCTATCGGCTCTCATTCTGGGAAAAAAAAACGTGTGTGTCTGTTTGTGTGTGCGCAAGGGTCTGTTTGAGCACAGGATGAAAGTGGGACAGAACCATTGAAGTCTGTTTGCTGACATGGTCCACTTTAACCCGCATGTTGAGATTGACTTTACATTCATTTTGTTTGGGATCTCAGAGTCCAATGCCATATGTGCAAAATACAAATGGAATAATAATTCTGAAATCATTCATTTTTTACTTTAATTTCCATTTAAATTAACATCAAATTATATTAGAATAAAATTCTTAAAAATATAAAAAAAATATTAAAAAATACAAATCGATAGATCGATAGATGGATGGATGGATGGTTGGATGGATAGATAGATAGATAGATAGATAGATAGATAGATAGATAGATAGATAGATAGACTTTATCAAACAAACCAAATTTAGAATTGACATGCAATGGCTAAAATCACATAAACACTTTTATCACCAACAATATTTGTGCAAAGTGCATAATTAGCAAGCATAAAACATTTTGGAAGTTGCAGTCAAAAATGAGCAGAGCATTCTATGAATGATAAAGGCCTGACCAAATTTTTGATGAAGCTGTTACTCTAATTTTGACAAATAGCATGGCATTTACCTGTCTGAGGGAGCAGTTAAAACTAGACCTGAGTAAAAATGCATGCCGTGATGAATGTGCTCTGTGTACAGATGTTGTTCATCATGTACCAATCTTATTTGCTCGCACTGTTAATTTAATTTATTATGTTTTGTCTCTTATATTTGCTTACCTGGTTTGGCATTTGCCATTTTTAACAGTAATGTACAGTAAAATGTGGGCGTATTCTTAGTGTAAAATACATTCGATTTTATTCTGTTGCTCTTCTAATACACTCTACATTTAAAGGTTTATCAATTTAATGAAAGAAATTAATTAAAAAAATAAAAATAAATTGAATCTCCTGCAATTTGAATAATCAAAGTAATTATAGCATAACCAATTTAATATTTTTTTAATTGACTGACAACCCTAATATTAAGTAGTAAAAGTAATATTAGCAATAAACACATAGCAATAAAATAATAATAATATTGTATTTTCCTTTACAGAAGCTGCAAGAGTTGGCCACATTATTACAAGAATAAAAAGAAGAAAATGAACTGGAAAAGAAAGACAATGGGATAAATTGATAGAAAGAACAAAGAAACAAAATGATAAAAAATATAAAAAAAGCCAAAAAAGAAATGCAATAGCACAGAATTAGATATATCAAGATAAGGCCATGAGAGGATTGCAGAGTATAAAACAAAGGAGATGAGAGAAAGAAACAAAATGAAGAGTAGAAGATATATATTTTGCCGGAGGAATGGGCATAATTAGATTTTGTATATTAGAACTACACGACTGAGTAAGGAAATACGATGTTCTTTTAGTTTGCAATAGGGGGAAAACATGGGGAAATCATCTGGGTGACCTGATGGCCGTTCCTAGTTTAATTAATTGTGCTGAAGAAAGCTATGCTGGGTAAATGGAACTTATTACTGTACATACGAGGTCCTATATACACTCTGTTCGTCTCTAATTGCCTTTTTAAAAAAACTACCAATACTCCCTTGTTGCAGTTAGAAGCGAGCACAACGTAGTTCATACATCACTAGGAATCCAAACCCGCATTTAGTCCTTTAGAAAATTCATTTTCAGCCCATATTTGAAGAAGAAATATAAAGGAATGTCAGGGAATGGAACTAATCATTTGATATTGTATGCACCGGTGCATGAAGGCATCACCTCCCACAATGCCAGTGTCTACCTGCGCTTTACATAATCAATGTAAACTCATTAATATAAGCGTCCTTAGTGACTCTTGGTTTTTTTGACATGCATGTCAAGCATTATTTTCAAGGTTGCGTTTTTCCCCAATGCTGCTGGAAATAATTGTTTATGACTTAAAGACCAAATGCTCATCTGCTCAACAACAGGAAATTAAAGGAAATGTGGCATATATTGCATGCCATTAAAACGTTTTTGTTTTAGTTTTTTTGGTCCATTGTATCATATGCGTATGATACAGCCAGCTGTGTTCGCTATACTTCACTGTGGTCTCTTTTTAAAAGACTACACTTTTTGCTTTAGGATCCTAAATTGAACATACACAAAAAATTAATTATGTCAATGTTCATCATCAAAGCCTTAATGTTCATCTTCTCTTCCTGTGTGTTCAGGTCAAAGGGATTGGCAGAAGAATGCTGGCGCCAGGTGCCCAGGGGCAGGATGGCGTTGTGTTGGCAGAGAGCTACGGTTGTTAGATGGTTCCTCTTGATGCTCCTGTGGCACTGGGCACCTCTGGGCCCACTGAGCTGGTTTCTGGCTCTGGCTGAGCGTCTTGACCAGAAGACCTCACCGTTCTCTTCTATCTCTGGCCGGAGCAGCGGCCAGCTGGACTGGCTCCTGTCTGATAAAGGGCCCTTCCATCGCTGTCCAGAATACACCGAGTTCAAAGAACGCTTCCAACAAGGCTTCTCCACACGCTACAAAATCTACAGGTTTGTGCTGTGATGATTATATGTGACCCTGGACCACAAAACCAGTCATAAGGCAAAATTTTTTGAAATTGAGATTTATACAGATTCACTACTGGCGTACTGTTTCTTGGCTTTCTAGGGCAATAGTGATGAACATCAGCAGAACAGTTCTTTAGTCTTTTACACTACCATTCAAAAGTTTTGGGTTGACAATCTTTTTAATGTTTTTGAACACTGGAACTCTTATGCATTAACATTTATTTGATAAAAAAAAATACAGTAAAACATAATATTGTGAAATATTATGATTTTAAAAACCGTTTTCTTAAAAATAAGATTTTCTTTTGACAAAGAATTAGTTGCAGGGAAAGTATTTGTGTGTAAATTGCAGTGGTGCATAAATGATTCATAAATGTACAAATCAAACTTACTCAGAATCCAGACCATTTCTGACACAGATTTCCATTTTCCATTAACTGTTTTCCATTACTTCTCTGCATGTGGGGAGAGAAAATCATGCAAAACAGTGAGATTGCTCATATCAATGTTAGCTTACAGAATCAGGAAGAAAAAATCAACAGAACATGGTAAAACAGGTTAAATGCACTTGACTACACTCTTAGTTGTAGATGAAAACTTCATAAAGCTAGAAAAACTTTGTGAATGAAAGGTGTATGGATTTGGCAGCAACCAGTAGTGCCTTCTGCAGAATAGTGTGGGTACAGATTTCATGCAGACAAACTGACCTTTCGTCAGTCATGTGACAGATCAAATAAACCACAGTGAGAAGTCCTGACAACAACATAGCAGTAGAAAATTAAAAAATACTGATGGCTCAGTTGTGATGAGGCATGGATCTGTTTAATCTGATGCAGCCCATGGTGTTGATATTGTTGGTGAGTGGACAGGTGCAGTCTCGTGACAGAAAAGGGCCATCGCGCATACAGCAAAGACTCCATCCACTCTGATGCTGCCTGCAGTTACTAAAACATCCAAGACAATGGAACGACACAATGTTTACATAGTTTACATTGTCCATTTGCAATGATCCATAAATGATGATGCCCTTCCAAGGGATCCCCTTCTTAAAATATAAAGACAGCAATATCATTATTTACATGTATACTGTGGAAAAATAAAAACAGGGGTGCGGGAAGATGCTTTCGGTTGGGGGTGCTGTGTGGGTCCGTGTTGGGGGGGGTTTGGGCGCTAGCGTCACGTGTTCATGAGGATTAGGCTAATAATCCCATATAGAAAACATCACAAGTAAAATTAATCATGTTTATAAAGATAAACATGGGTTTATTATAGCCCACTTACAATTTACATTTCAGAGATCATTACAAATAAATTATTAAATGCTAAAACTGAATAAATTTAAATGAACAAACTTGGCGTTGCATTTGCAACCATGTGAAAACAGGGGGTGCTGCAGCCCCCTCAGCACCCCTACTTCCCGCGTCCCTGAATAAAAATGATGTGTAGAAAAACATACATTGCTGCTGTTCAAGAGTTTGTGGTCAGTAATATTTATTACCACTACTTCAATAATAAAATAATTATTTTATTCAACAAGGATGCATTAAATTGCTCAAAAGTGACAGTAAAGGCATTTATAATGTTATACAAAATATTTCAAATAAATATTGTTCTTTTAAACTTTATATTCATCCAAAAATCCTGAAAAAAAATGGTTTCAACAAAATAGCAGCACATCTGTGTTCAGCGCTGATAATACTAATAAATGTTTCTTGAGCACCAAAGCAGCATATTAGAATGATTTTTGACTGTATTTTGTATTTTTGACTGCATAATTGACATCTTTCTAATTATTTTCATTTCCATTTTTTAATTACCAACCCAAAACTTTTGAATGGTAATGTAAAATTATGGCTGTCAATAAATTATTTGTTTTCATAAATATATTCATTCAACTATTTTTCACAGTTCGAAAACCCCTGCACCACACTACACTATCTAGTGTGGTCTCATTTTCTCTGTTCCCTGGGATTCAAACCTGTGACCTTGGCGTTGACATCGCCATGCACAGCAACACTCATCATTATTCTGAAAAGTGCAACACATCAGTAGCAACACGGTGGTGATTATTCAGCTGTTGACCTGTTTTAATTACATGCACCCGCCATCATTCATTCAGTACAGTGCACTTTAAATATTGATCGCTACACATTCATTCCACACCATGTCAAAGACACACACACAACAGGAAGGAAAGGTGTGTTTGGTGCATTACTGTCTGTGGCTGATCTCAGATCCACCAGGGGAGTTTGGCCTTTTTGCCTGCTTCCTTTGTCCCCTGCTGGTGCGTAGCCGACTCTGTCCAACTCTCTCCGCTCGCCGAATTCAGAACCCAGCAGCTGGGCAGAGAAAGGCCCACGGAACTGTGATGGACTCAGTGAGGGGGAGACGAGCTTCTGCCAGCGCGGTTTGAAAGGCTGTCCTGCAAGCCAAAGAGTCTGTGTGGGTGTTTGGGTGTAGGCGAGTCTTCTGTATGTGCCTCACAGTTCAGAGGCATTGTGTAAACAGCATCACTGACCTCACACTGCAAAGACGGGGGCTTCAGCTAGTCACTGCATTCGCCCTTTTTGATATGATAACAGATCAGGATTTCCAGAAAGAGAAACTGGGTTGCACATCACAAGAGGAGAACACCAGCAGGCACTGTACCTTTTACTGCTTCCTTGGGCACAGCTCCCCTCTGGGGGTTAACATTGCACCAAAGGATCCCCGGCAGAGTTAATTCCATGGTCTTTAGTCATACTGCCAGCTCCGATGGGGAATTTTCTGTTGTGAATGGAGAGATATGTGTGCTTGCATTAGTTTTCTTTGTTCCGAGGCTTTAGCAGCAGTTGACATTTACATTCACAAGTTATTCGAAATGGAAGCATCTGTGAGCTCAATAAAAGTAAATACCCGATCAAAACACAGGTATGTTTAAAAGAGAGAACTTGCATAAGTAAGGTTTTCAGTTTCAGTCATTGTAGAAATGCTTTATTACTCATTTAGCATGGTTAATTTATGGTAATACTTGACAATTATGTTCGTTAACATTAGTTCATTCATTATGTATCATGAACTAACAATGAAAAATACAGCATTTATTAGTCTAGGTTCATTCTGATTTCTACATATACTAATGCATTTTGTATAAATGTAAATAAGTTGTATAAATTAGCATGAGTTCATGGGTTATGAATGAACATGAATGACTAACAAGGAATATTATGTTTAGAAATGAACATTAATTTAGATTAATGAATGGTGTAAAGTTCCTATTACCCACTGCATTAACAAATTGAACCTGTTGTTCAATGTTACCTAATTTACTCTAAAAGCATAATTGTCCAGTATGTGGATTACTGAATATTTGGCTGTCCATGTGATGATCATGTAAATGAGTCTACATAATTTTTTTTATAAATTATTCATATACTTTTTAAATTAATTATTTCTATTATTTTATTTATTATAATTTATTTAAAAATTTTCAGTACTATCTATTTATCTGTAAAACCTTTCTTGACAAGGAAAAAAATATAAAATACCATTAAAAGATTTGGAATAAGGAATACTACTACAAGAAACATATTTATGATGATGGAAGAACCATGACGCACTACCCTACCCATGTGGATCCTTGGGATGATGTAGTAGCTCCCATTCGTGCTATTATCTGTAGACCATCACACCAATGGTGCTGCACAAGGTGACGGCAGAGACGACCAGCGGGGAGCTGCTCCGTAGGGATTTAGTAACCTGGTAGCAGCTGGTTTCCAAAGGCAACGAGTATCTGCAAAAGAAATCAAACACGAAGATGTGTGTAAGCTATACGCAATTGAGACATAATGTAATTTAATGTTTTAATGGGAAACGCAAGAGATGAATTGTGTCATGCAGGTGACACTGGTCCACAATGTAGAATTAATAAGCCAAATGGATGGAAAACTCGGAGATGCTTGTGTGGAATTATAATGGGGGAGAAGCCATACAGGGGTTTGAAAAGAATCGCTTTTGTGTTCCGTTGACTTGATGTAATTTACCACTTCAATCACTCACCAAAGGATATTTCAGAAGCATTTGATAAACATTGCCTGAGCTTCCACAGATTGAGTCAAATTTCATTCTTTATGTTGATGTTTGCAGTGCAGAGTTTTTGCTGAGCAGTTTCATTTTGTTTTTGCATTGTGTAGTTCTGGGTTTTGCTGAAAGCATGATTTTTTTCATTTCTTATTTGCTTAACTTTGGCAACTAATCCTTCTTTAAAAATCTATAGTTAAAGCTGCTTTCATAATACAATGCAGCCCCTGGTGGGAGGGTTTCCTAATCTTATTTTCTAGATGATGCCCTCAAAAAAAGCAGCATGTGCCAATGTTTTAGTTCACTAAACAGAAGCCTTTTAAGTTTTGCATGAAACAGAGGGTTTAAAGAGAAAAATAAAAAAGAGAGCAAAGACAGAATGGGACATTCAGACAGATTGTGACATTTTAAGCTTTTAGCTGGATAGGTGAACAAACTGTTTAGAGTGATTCATTCACCATCTGTTGAAAACGTGGCATCTTTTCATTTCAGGTTTATTTTCAGAACACAAAAATTGTTGAGGCAGGCTTTGGACATAGTTGTGTAAAACCTGTTTCTGATTTGTTTTACGTCAATGATTCATCACCAAGTATAAATGCACAATGCACCTACTGTACTTTAAGACAATATTAAAGTATAGTTGCCATAAAGTCTATGGGCTGTAATTATAAATCTTCAATTTGGTTCCAGATTCCACACTGAATAATGTGACCCTGGACCACAAAACCAGTCTTAAGGACCACAAACGGCAAACAAGACCGAAGCGGAATGAAACTCTGCTGCTCCAAAGTACTTTTTCTCAGCTATAGGTTTCAGACAACACTCTTCATTATTTTCTAATGCTTAAAGATGAAAAATAAACTAAATGCTTTAATTGTAAATTGGTCATGTAGATGAGAGGCCCTAATGACCTTTGTGACCTAAGCTGTCAAATCATTTAATATTTCGAAGAATAATCGCAGAAACCATTTGAAAGGATATATATATATTGAAGCAGTGGTGAAGCACCTCTTCAAATTGATAGTGACAGCCCAGTTGTGTTATTTTTGTCTCTTCACTTGGCTTTTGAAGCAACGGCGTGCTGCTGGTTAGAATGTGCTCTGATTGTCGTCCTGTGTTGTTCAGGCAGCGCCCCCTCATGTGTTAAAGCTCCCAGCGCAACTCCATTCATGATATATCAGGACAGAGATGAGCAGGAGAACGGAGGGTGAGACACGAGGCCTTCGTTCATCCAGTAATGTGAATGGTTTCTGTAAGTGACCTCTGACCGTGTTCTCTCCATCTGTCCTTCAGTTCTGGCCAGTACCGAAGCAAACCACCACAGAGCCGAGCGCTGATGGAAGTCCCAGTGTCCAAAGCCAATGTAAGCACTGTTCGCAGCTGTAGAGTCATAGAGGCCAGTAATCAAGCAAGTCTGTTGACGTTGTGTGTCTTTATTAGGACACTCCAGTCAGCGCAGAGTCCATCACGGATGAGAGTACCCTGTGGGCAGCACGTAACGTCTCTGTAGGCCCGTGTCCCAACCACACCTGTGACTTCTCCCTGTCTGCTCATCTGGTGTCCACACCGCTCCACCCTCATGCACCGCACTCATGGGACATGGAGGAGCTGCAAGGTATTCATCCTCATTTACCTGCTGCTCTTGAGTGAGCTGTGTTGATCTGGGTGTGATTTGTGACTGTCTTCTCTCAGAGGAAAGCGCAGGGGTCAGGGGCATCAGCGGAGCAGAGGAAAACCCGTACATACGACAGCCCACCAAACTCAGGTATCAGCACAACATCATTACTCAAGCATTTCTTCTGCTTATTTCATGCATATCATCCATAGTGTATCCACCTTATTTTGCAACTAGGAAGTAAGCTATTTCCTTGTGAGTCTTATGATTCTTTAGCCTGCACTGCAAGTAGGGCTGCACTGAACAAGTACGATACCGATACTTTCTTTTTATTTTTTATTTTTTATTTTTTTTGTACTGGGCAACGATTAATCGCATCCAAAATAAAAGATTTTGTTTACATAATATATGTGACCCTGGAGCACAAAAGCAGTCTTAAGTCGCTGGGGTATATTTGTAGCAATAGCCAAAAATACATTGTATGGGTCAAAATTATTGATTTTACTTTTATGCCAAAAATCAATTGGATATTAAGTAAAGATCATGTTCCATGAAGATATTTTGTAAATGTCCTACTGTAAATATATTAAAACTTAATTTTTGATTAGTTCACTTCATTTGGACAACTTTAAAGGCGATTTTTTCAATATTTTGATTTTTTTGCACCCTCAGATTCCAGACTTTCAAATAGTTGTATCTCGGCCAAATATTGTCCTATCCTAACAAACCATACATCAATGGAAAGCTTATTTATTCAGCTTTCAGATTATGTATAAATCTCAATTTCGAAAAATTTACCCTTATGACTGGTTTTGTGGTCCAGGGTCACAAATGTGAAAATGTGCTGTTGTTACCTCAAGCAATTATTTCTACCTGACCTGTGTCACATTGCACACACGAGGGACGAGGAGACGCTGGAGCATATGTTGACAAGACTTTATTTGCACCAAGGAACCAAGGGAGACAAACACAGGAAGACGTTCCACAAAGACGTACAACAGCGGACTGAGAACTTGGGACTGGGAACACATTTTATACACACACACACAGGAGGAGGGGATGACGAGACACACCTGGGAGCAATAAAACCAAGGGAAACACCTGGGACAAATGAAATAAACTAATCAGGACAGGAACAGGAAACTAACCAAATAAGGGCATGGGAAGGCACATGGGGAGCAGGACACACACAAAACATGGAACAGAGTCTGACAACCTGACCATAAATTACTTTCACTTGTGTAATTAATATAGTCAGGTTAATTTAGTCAATAAATAAAACTTAAGTTGTTACCGCATGAAGCGTATTTTAGATTACCTGACAAAACATTTTTAACAGTGGAGTGAAAACAGAAAACAGGAAAATATCTAAAGCTGTAATGCAATTTAAGAGGAAGTGAACAAGAGTAAAACACTGGACATTTCTGTAAAGGGTTTATTAAATGTCTCAGCGTCTGCAGTTTAGAAGGGAGGCAATATATCATACTTACAGTACTTTAGTTGACAAGAACTTCCTATTTTATTTTATAGATACAAAAGTCCAGATGCTCTGGGAACAAATATTTCTCAGAATCTCTGAGAGCCTGATAGTCTGTCACTCCAATCAAATTCATGCCAGTTCTGATCTGATTTCATACTGAGGTAAAGTGTGAAGGTCATTAGAGTGAACATGATGTCCATGGAATTGAATGTCCAGCCCTGCAGGCAAAGAAGTACACACATCTTGAAGGGATACAGCCTTAAAAATGTAATTAAATTAAATTAAATTCAAGTTTATTTGTATAGCGCTTTTCACGATACAAATCGTTGCAAAGCAACTTTACAGCAAATTAAGTTTCTACAATATTTAGTGGTAGCTTATCAGTGGTGACTGTCAGTTAATGTACATATGGCAGAAATGTACGGAAAAATAAATTAAAGACATAATCAAACAGACGATGAACACTATTAACAGCAATTATTATATGATGCAATCAAACTTAGCAAAATGTGGTAGTTCTATACGTTGTTTCAGGGTTGGCATCATCTGAGGTCCTCTGAGGGGTTGGCATCATCTCTTCTCAGGTGTTCTGGATCCAGACTGAAGCTTGTGTAAATCCTAGTTACCAAAAACAGAGAAACAAATAGAGACATAATTAGCATAGCTGCTGTTCCAACCAAGCAAAATTGATTTGTTCACTGAAAAAAATCACTGAAATGTTCTGTGAGGAACCCAAAAACACCCTTTTGGAACCTTTTCAGAGTGTAATTAACCTAGAAATACAAATTCTGTCATTAACTCACCAATGTTGTTCTAAACCCATATGACTTTCTTTGTCCCATGGAGCAAAAGATTAATCTTTTGTTGAATATCCTGGCAATTCTTTGCATATAATGAAAGTGAATGAGGACTAGGGCTATATATCTCCAATATTTCGAAGACACCATAAAACTATCATAAAAGTTATCCATACTGCTCTATATTCCAAGTCTTCTGCAGTCATTAGATAGCTTTATGAGAGAATTTTAAGCCGTTATTCACTGAAAATCTTGGCATCCATTCTCACTGGCTTGTTCATAAGAAATAGGCTGATTCATGAGCTAATCAGTTATTTAGAAACTGAATCAATCATTTGATCCCAATGGAGGATCATCAGTGAATAACAACTAAAATGTCAGCCTGTTCCTCACAAAAAGCTTCAAATGAGTTTGAATATAAAGCAAGAGCCATGTAAGTAGTTAAATTATGATTTTGTTTTCCTCCATTTTTTATGGAGCTAGACAGTCCCAAGAATTGTTCACTTTCATTATATGGAAAATAATCATTATGATATTCTCAAAACAGACTTCATCTTCCACAAGGGAAAAAAAAAGATGAGAATGAACACAAATTATGAAATTATTTTAATAATAATAACCACCCAATATACTCTCATGGCAATTCATAAATTTTGGTGTTTGAAATTTGTCATCTCATTCGTTCATTTTTGTTTGATCTGCTTAAGCCCCACTGAGGGTTAGGTTCAGGGCTGGACCTTCATGTTTGCTTTTTTCAAGCTAATTCATATGAATTTGCCACCAATTTGCCAAAACAAAATTAGTTACACATGAGATCTGTTTGGAACTATCACTTCCACCCATCTTTAGCTCCCTCTCTTAAACCACCATTCCCAAAAACAAATCTTCACAACTGTCATCACACAGCAACTTTCAATGTGTTCTTATGACATTTAAATATATCTAAAAAAAGTCTTTCTCAAAATTTCATCAGCTGGAGTTTCAGGAATTTGTATTTTCTATTAAAATTGGAAAACCTAAAGGCACCAAACTAGAAAAAAATCTAATTAGAGCATTTAGCACGGTGCTCCTGGTAAGTAATCAAGATTCAAGCTAATTTCAATGTAAAATCAGAGCATCTGCTACTTGACTCTGAAAATAAAAAGCTATCGGTGCACAACACAATACTTCAACCCATTAACATCATTGCTCAATTTATAGCAAAAAGGAGAAAAAAAAAAAACGACTTTAAAACAGCACATTAATGGCTACTTGACAAGTAATATATATTTTGTTCTAGAAAATAATTTAATTTAAGGTTCTCCTGGAGGAAATGTTTAACTGTCTCAAATTAGTGAGGAAGTGTTGTGAGGCACCTATTATTGTGCTGAGCACAAACACGGCTGCAGAATGTACCGCCAGCACAGGTTCACAAGGGAAAAGAAAGACTCTAATTGCTATTCAGATTTCCCCTCCTTCATTCACCAAACTCTGCATAGCACTAACCACCATCCACGAGGAATTCTAAAGTAGTAACAATGACTTTGCTATTCAGTCCACTATTGAGCAGAGGACAGAGCCTTCATTATATGCAGCCGATAAAAGCTTGTGTCTGTTTTAATGAGTGAAAAGTTTGAGAGGTGAAGACATAGAGCGCACCTGCCATCCTCCACTTGATTGGCAGGCTCATACAAACAGGCCAGAAGACCCAGTTTCAATCCAGCAGAGTTAGGAGTTGCAGATCAGCAGTTCTCTCTTTCGGGCGTGTGTGTGTGTGTGTCTGTGTGTGTGTGTGTGTGTGTGTGTGAGCTGTACAGATGCAGCCTGCAAGTTAAAACTCGATGCAGAAACCAGCAGAAAAGACTAAAGTTACCATTTACTATTGGCTGACAAGGAATGTTACAAACAACGAATACAAGTAGTTAAATTACGATGAGCCTATGCAATGATACCCAGGTGCGGTGGCCCCCTAGTCAGGGAGTATTAAAAAGTCGAGCGTTTTGGGTGATAGTGTCCCACTCCCCAGCAGAGTTCCAGGTGCTATCAGTTGGTGCTAAAGCCCTTTAATTAAGACCATCTATCATCATTAGCTTATGGTCAGACAGCCACTGCTTTCGTTAATTAACTCTTAGAGATTCTCACAAACCGTACTAAGCCCAATAGGCAATTCTTTTGGGTAGTGTCTTCGCAGAAGCATAAGCTTTGTTCTATGTACAGAACCCCAGGAAAACAGTGACTTGGACTGTTATTGGTTTTATGAAATGCATATACGGTAGATACAGAGAGTGTTCTGAATGATATATATGTAGGAATGATGTCAGAGTTACAAAAGCCGTCAAAAGTTGCATCATGTAAGCTGTATTGTGTTTATGGACCCGAATCGTGTTCACCCCGCGTTACAATGAGATGCATCAATATTCAGCACCATGCAATATTTATGCATGCTTAGCCTTATTTTCTGTTGATATCAGCATGTTCTTTTGCTCTCGTACCTTGCGCACACATATAGATGTGCGATTTTCTGTTCTACCAATGGCCGATGAAACATAATGGGTTCTGAAATCCGCTACATGCATTAAAGCACTTAATGTGTTTGTTTTGTCTCGCAGGGAGTTTAGTCACTGGAAAGTGAACAGCTTGGTGACAGAGAAGAGAGACTTCTTCAAAGCCCCGCTGCCTTTGGCGCCCGAGTTTTTACGCAACCTCAGGCTTCTGGGGAGAAGGCCGAGCCTTCAGCAGATCCATGAAAATCTGATCAAGAAATATGGCACTCATTTCTTGGTATCAGCCACATTGGGAGGTAAGCCAATATTTCATCAGCTCTATGCTAAAGGTGAATTTGAAACAGTTTTAACAAGAGATTTTGGTAACATATTCTGTAAAACTTGTATATGGGTAGTTTTAATCAACATCATCATTAGAGGTCAAAATATATGTGAATGTAAAAGAGAAAGTGTTTATGTCTGGTCATCACTTCTTTTAAGTCTTTTACCTTTTTTCATCTTTTTTGCCTTTACTGGTTCATTTAAAATGGTCCTGTGGTGTGACAAATTATTTTTTTAGGTGCAACTATTCCATGTACTTTCTTAATATTAGCTCATAAAAGCTAAAGGCATAATAGAAGGATGAGCAAAATTTTGTTTAAAATGTTTCATCAACTGCCCATATACAATGCATTTATATATAAGGCATGTTGTACTTCATTATATTTTTATTAAAAATTGTGAGCACAGTAATATGCAATGCAATGTATTATAATTCCTATGTAAAAGTCACATCTTAAAACACAATATATTTCATATTGTGTCTTAAATAACGTTTTAATGTATTATACTCTTTAAATGTATTTATGTATTATAGCAGCAATTTATAAGAACATACTGAGGAATATTAAAAGTCATGATAATACATTAAGAATTCAGTGCATTAAAGGCTTCAGTCTTTCCAGCCTTAAAAATATAAAAATAATAATAAAAATAACAAAACGAAACGAAACAAAACAAAATGAAACAAAATTAAATAAAAAAGGCACAGATTTACTATCCATACACTGAGTCTGACATCCTTGGCATAAGTTTAGCTATTATCAGACAGTATTTTTCTCTTCTCCCTCTGGCACCCACATAATAAGTAGGGCAGCACGTCCCAGTGGTGGATTCAAACCTTTCAATGTGTCTCTAGCAAAATGCTGCAAGTTACCGACACTAATTATGATGTCATTTATTGGTGGATGAGTGAAGTGAAGCTGCAGAACTTCAGAGACAGGGGAGACGAATGAAGTGGTAAAGCTACAATCAACGCTGGTAATTAACGACTCAAAGCAAAGGAAATGGGGGGACCGTGCTATTGCTTGCATACTAATCAGACTGAAATGAATAACACCACTCAAGCTCCACACATACAGGTTCAGGAGACGCTCCTCAACCCAGACAACAATATTTATCTGAAGTTCAGGCTTAGACTCAGATCAAAAATAGCATTTACTATAAAAAAAAAATCTAAAATTGATCTTCAGAAGAAATCTGTGGTTTTAACAACCTCCCTTTGGGATAAACTCTCTTTTGTGTGTGCCCTTTTCCTTCCTTCAAAATCGTTATTGCTTCTCTGCCTTAACTTCTGTGATTCATATTTAACAAATCCTTGAAAAACTTGAAAGGCATATGTTAGTACACTTTGACAGTACAACCAGAACTCACTATCATTTTGATGAACATTGTCTTCGGACATATATTTCATCTCATGGTTTGGTTTCTGCATGTATCTTTCCTAAGGAGAGGAGTCACTCACAATCTTCTTGGACAAACAGAAGCTGAGCAAAAAGTCAGAGGGCAACGGAAACAGCTCCGTGGTCTCCCTAGAAATCTTGCACCAGTTGGCGGCGTCGTACTTCACAGACAGAGAGAGCACCCTGCGAAGACTCCACCACCTGCAGATCGCTACATCTGCCATCAAGGTAACAGACGACACGACTTCTTCCTTTTTGATCCAACCTAGACTCATTGGAAAAAATGTGTCAGTGGCCACATTTCTGCAAAATGGTATTATGCTGCTTCTTGCTAAAATGTTCAGTTGGTGGCACTGAGAGCATGTTTAGTATTCTCCAAAGCAGATGAATGTGCATCTGGCAACATGAATTTTATTATTTTGGTTGTTGTACTTATTACGCCAGTTTGGAAATAAAACGTCCAGTGAGAGGGGCTAGCAGATTAATGCTCTATCGCTCTTGAAAATAACGTACCACCTATACTAAACCTAACTGATAATGCTAACAAAAGCAAATGAGAGATAAAAACGGATTTACCATGCCATTTTAGCTTGCTTCAACAAGTATTTGACCTGCTTTATGGAGTGTTGGAACTCTAGACCCAAGCGCTCCACATTGCAAGTGCACTGATGTACCAGGTGAGCTAATTAGCAAGTTTACTACATCTGAAAAGCTATACATATGGAGCTAGTTATGTGCTGCAAATAATTTTTTTTTTTCAATAATTGATAATCTGCCCCTGTAATTATATCTGTGTGTGTAATGTGTAATTAATGTGTCTGTAAAATAAATAAAGGTAACAATTTACTTAAAGCCTTTATGTATAATGCATTATAAAAGTAGTTTTAATGCATTAATTATGCCTTGTAATGCACCTTATAATGCATTGTACAATCTCCTGAATAACTGTGTCACAATGTGCCTATGGTGAGGAGCGAGGAACGAGTACGCAGGAGAATCATAATCAACAGTGTTTATTGACATCTAGGAAATCACACGTAGGACATGGGATCGACGTTCAAGACAGCATGCTAGACATGGAAACACACAGGGCTTAAATCATGGGACTAATTAAGGAATAGACGAGACACACCTGGAACTAATGAACATGACATGAGGGAAAACACAGCTGGAAACAAATGATGAACTAATAGGACAGGAACGGGAAGAACCAAATATGGGCAAAGAGGAACATGGGGGAAAACCAGGACATGGAGCACGTGGGGGAGGAGAACACACACAGACAGTCTAACGGGTGTGACATTACTCCCCCCTCCCGGAAGGCACGTAACAATTCCACCGGGGAGGGGGAATGGGCGCTCTGGAGGCCCCTCAGGACAGACACGGGACGGCAGGCCTCCAGAGCGGTACCCATTCCGGGACTCATGGCGGATCAGGCAGTCTAGGAAGCCATGGCGGAGCAGGCAGACTAGGAAGCCATGGCGGAGCAGGCAGACTAGGAAGCCATGGCGGAGCAGGCAGACTAGGAAGCCATGGCGAAGCAGGCAGACTAGGAGGCCATGGCGGAGCAGACAGCTCAGGAGGCCAAGGCAGAACAGGGAGCCCGGGGAGCCACGGCGGAGCAGACAGTTCAGGAGGCTATGGCGGAAGGGGCTGGACGTGGGAACTGGAGCCCTCCTTGGGCTGGACATGGGAACTGGAGACATTTCTGTGCTAGACTAGGGGACTGGAATCCTCTCTGGGCTAAAATCGGGGACTGGAGCCCTCTCTGGGATAAACTCGAGGACAGGAGCCCTCACTGGGCTAAACTCTGGTACTGGAGCCGACACTGGAGCTGACTCAGGGGCTAGGATGAGGGCTGAGAACAGTCTTTTCCTCCTCATCCTCCTCCTTTGGTTAAGGGTGAATGGAGCGGCCGGCGGGCTTGACATCGGAACGGCTGGCGGGCTTGACAACGGAGCGGCCAGTGGACTTGACTGAGGAACGGCCGGCAGGCTGGTTCTGGCTCGGGGCCGGTCGCTCTCCAGACACCAGAGGATCCCTTCCCTCCAGCTTAGTCCCGTGGTGTCTGGGAAGTCCACGGGGTGATGGTAATTGGCCCCCTGCCAGAACAGAGAGTTGATGGCGGCGTCATCTAAAGCCATCGCCGAGGCGAGCCCGCACGAGCTGGTTCTGGATCGGGGCTGGATGCTCTCCAGACACCGGAGGATCCCTTCCCTCCAGCTTAGTCCAGTGGTATCTTGGAGGTCCACGGGGCGATGGTAAATGTCCCCGTGCCAGAACAGCGAGTTGATGGTTGCGTCATCCAATGCCGTCGCCACGGTGAGCCTGCAGAACTCCCAGGCATACTCGACGAAGGGGAGATCCCTACGGGCTAGGGCAATGAAGTGTGCCGCGATCTCCATGGAAATGGAAAACCAAAACACTTTCAAAAAATGTGAAACAAAAACACGGAGAGTAGGGGTGCCGCTTACTGTTTATAGTTCGGTATTCTGTCACGATGTGCCTACGGTGAGGAGCAAGGAACAAGGAACAAGGAGCGAGGAACGAGAAGAACGCAGGAGAATCATAATCAACAGTCTTTATTGACGTCTAGGAAATCACACGTAGGACACGGAATCATGGGACTAATCAAGGATTAGACGAGACACACCTGGATCTAATGAACATGACATGAGGGAAAACACAGCTGGAAACAAATGATGAACTAATAGGACAGGAACGGGAAGGACCAAATATGGGCAAAGAGGAACACGGGGGAAAACCAGGACATGGAGCACGTGGGGGAGGAGAGCACACACAGACAGTCTAATGGGTGTGACAAACTGTAACCACAGTTAATACATTATAACACTTATCAATTCATTGTTACACTATGAATTTTAAATTCAGTTATAATTATTTACAAGTTATTATGTATTACAATGCACATTATGAATAATTATAATGCATTATACCCTTTAATAATAACTCTTTATAATGCATTATACATAAGGGTGCTTTAAAGGGATAGTTTACCTAAAAATGAAAATTCTGTCATTAATTTCTTACCCTCATGTCGTTCCAAACTCGTAAGACCTTCGTTCATCTTCGGAACACGAATTAAGATATTTTTGATGAAATGTGAGAGCTCTCAGACCCTGCATAGACAGCAATGCAACTGTAATGTTCCCAGGTCCAGAAACGTAGTAAGGACATCGGTAAAACAGTCCATGTGACATCAGTGGCTCAACTTCAGTTTTGCAAAGCTAAGAGAATACTTTTTGAGCGCATTCTCGAGTATTCTCTTAGCTTCGCAAAACTGAAGTTGAGCCACTGATGTCTCATGGACTGTTTTACCAATGTCCTCACTACATTTCTAGACCTGGGAACATTAAAGTTGCGTTGCTGTCTATGCAGGGTCTGAGAGCTCTCACATTTCATCAAAAATATCTTAATTCGTGTTCCGAAGATGAACGAAGGTCTTACGGGTTTGGAATGACATGAGGGTGAGTAATTCATAACAGAATTTTCATTTTGGGGTGAACTAACCCTTTAAGTAAAGTGTTACCGAAATGAAAGTTGTTTCAGTGTTTCACTGCCACTAGTAATGCATTGAGAATATGCAATGCATTGTATGTATAAGTAGTTTTTTTTTTCTTTTGCACAAAAATGTAGGTGAAGGCATGTTTTTTTTAAATCAACCTGTTGGTTTGATTTAGCTATGAATTCAAATCTGTGTATTTTAAAAGTTTTCCTGTTTCTCTATGCATGCTGATTACCGCTTATCAATTTGATTTGTACAAACTTCTACTGTTCTAAGCATTTGAGATGTATGTTTGTTGCCATGGTAAATATTCAGCAATTAAGGCCGCGATGCCATTTCCATGATGTGTCAAGTGGCTCTCGGTCTTACAGCTGCTGAGTGGGTGTAGAAATGCTGGTGACTGCAACATCATGATTCCTTCAGAGGGAGCTCTGCATGAAATTATGCTGCTGAACTGAGACAAATATCATTGAAATTGATACCTGCATGCATACAATTCGAGTTTTATATAAGAAATCTTTCTGTTGGGGTAGGAGATGCTTTTGCAAATTCCCTTAAAGCATATTTCTCACTTGCTAAAAGATTCTAATACGTTTTGTATTTATGTACCACCTTTTTTAATACCTAAGACTGCTTTACAGGGTAAGCAAGAAAAAAGTGATGACAAAATGATCTTTGGTTAATTTGTTTATACGTTTTTGCTTAGTATTTATAAACTACTAATTACATCAACACATTTTTACCGCAATCGATCCAAAGCACACTCACCAACATTGCAAAAGCTGATCATGCAATTTTCCTGATGCACTATACTGTGATTGTCTTTTGTCAGTCACACTAATGCTGGCCAGTCATAATGAAATATGCCATTTTCAAAGCTCTGTCAAAGCCAATCTTTCTACACACTGCATTTATTCCTATGACGAAGAGTTTCAGCCTCAAAAAACGTGTGTGAAATGAAAGCAAGATGGCACAGGAACAGGAGCGGTGGCTCTGTTAGAAGATAATGACTTTCTCTTTGGGCTGCGATGTGCTTTTCATTAGCCTGAGCTTTCTCTGTACAACATCGGCTGAGATGTTCAATTAAACACATACGATTTCATTTCAATATGACCACGGACATAGAGAGTCATCTGCATTTATATGCAGCAAATATGCTCTTGATGTGAAGCTCTTTGGATCGGGATTACAAAATACATCACTCTATTCAATTTAGCATAGATGTACCATTTTGTAAACATATTCTAAAATATCCTGCTTGCGCATGAGAAAAGTGTCCATGGTAACAATAAAGGGCACTTTGTGACAGACAGACCTCATCAAATCATATCAGTGAAATTGTTTTGGTGTACACCTCTAAAGTGCTTTCAGAGAGCCCTCTAGCATCGCTTTAGGGAGCAGTCTGTCCTGCCAGGTGTGTTTGTCAGGGGAGAGCTAATGAGACGTTACGGGGCTATAGGGCCCACCTTTGACTGCTTTCTTCCTGTACCCTGTGTGCAAATCAGCCTGATGAATTGGGCACCACAGCAGAAATGGGTTATAGCGGGCTCATCAATAATGCCATAAAGGATGATCAATTACACCCTCCGCTCAGAAACGAAGAGCTAAAGCACACCAGGAAGCAGCTTCTGGGGGACATCACTTTGCCTTCGTGTAATCAGATACCACTTAAGACCAAAAATAGCCCGAGATCCCAAGGCAG